GTGCTTGGCGTTTTCATAATTGCTGTTGCGTTCTTAGGCCTATTCGGAGCACTTCGGGCGAATGCAAATGTTCTCCTTGCGGTATGCGGTGAACTTCTAGTAGAGTAGCCTTTCCTTCACTTTTCAGTACGCGATTATTGTCCTGCTTATGGGTTTCGCAACACTTGGCTTTTTGATATTTGCCTTCGTCGAACATACTTTCGTTAGTTTTGTTGTTTTAAATCCTTTATATACTAATAACCCATTCTCTTAGATTCACGCTTTTGTTGGAGATGCCGTTAATGCCGCTATTAAAGAAGGTGAATCAAAGTATGGAAGTAGTAAAAAGTGGGCTGCTATCATTGACTGGTTGGAGGCCACGGTAAGTCTAGGGGCCAGCCTACCACTTAGATTAATTGTCATTGTTTGATGTCTTATCTAACACGCGTGACGTTGTCTACCTTCATATTTAGTTTGATTGCTCCAGAGACGTCAAAGTAGCATATACTCGAAGAACGCAGACAAATTCGCGCAGCAAACCGGTAAGGCCTTATTAATTCGGTTTTTTCTTTAAATTTTTGGACTTTATCCAATTAGAGCATTCCAGTAATTGAATTTAAGTGCACTTCGGGGAATTCGCGTTTAAATAGTATTTTTTAATCCTTTTTACTTCATTCAAGCTACAGTCAACTCCATTGCCATGAACAGTGCCCCTAGGATGTTAGTATTCCTATCCCATATGAGTGTCAAAGGAAGTTTTAGAGTATGCCTGAGAATCTCTATGCGAAGCCACTTGATTGATTGGTCAAAATATTTTTGCCATCTCGACTCCGAAAAATATATGCAATTCAGAACTTATATTCTAAGACCTGCTTGAGAAAATTTCAGATCTAATTGGACGGCACCGTTTGGATGAAGCCTTGAATGCGAGATTAAATATTAGTAATCAGTGCATGACAGACAAGGCAGGGGACAAAAGTGACCAGTTGCAACCAAAAAACAGCTCTTTCCATCTTTATGTTTTCTGTTGTACATTAAAATTGGACAGTCCACACTAGCAGGAATAGATACGAACTAGTGCCATTTACAGCACCAATCTGTCCACCGCAGTGAAATTGAAAGAATAAGTGCTATTTCTTTTACATCCTGCTTTAGGACTGCGCTAGAGCTGTCGCGGATGCCGTTGAGGACGAATTGATAACAATTGGAGGATGTCTTCTTGGCATCACGCTCCTAAGTTTCTTAACGTCCGCTTTGGCCTTTGTGCTAGCGCGCAAAATAAAAGTCTACGATAAACTGTAAATGTTGGATTGGTCATTTTGGTGGCTGTTAAGAAATAAAATGTGGGTTACTCGGTTCAATTTCTCTTTTCCTCTTCTTTGGTCGTTCCATGTCAGATATATCCTGTCTTCTTGGTTATTCTCTACCTCTCGTTTCCGTTCTGTGAAGTGATTAGAGGTTACTCTCAAGATTAAAGTCGGTCGGCAAACTTGGGCCTTCTAGCTAGTACCAGGGTTATAATATGGTAAGTTACAACATCAACATCAGATATCCCGAGTCCCAGGATTCTGTCATATGGGACCGGC